GTGTCCAATATTATTTTTATGGAATGTTAGGTCAATAGGTCTATGTGGATTTATGTAGTGTTTAGTTTACTGATTAGTGATTAGAGCCCAAAGTAGTTTTCGAGAATAGATTTTTGTTAGTTCCATGTAGGGCTGTATAGTGTTTTCTAGAGATTGTGGCCAATATTGTTTGCCAATTTTGATGGGCGATCTCAGCCTCAGCATGAACTCTTCTTTACTTCTCCACATCTTCATAAGTTGTAACTCAAGCTAGTTATTAAATTTGATAATCCAAAAGAAAACAACCATGACATGAGATTTTTCAAGCTGACTTGCCCCTTCACTTTGCTAACATCGAAACCATAAACTTATCCACATGGAAGAGCAGCTGCGAAATAATTCTCCAGCAACTGCAAGTCGCACATTTTCAGTTTTACATACTAGTTTTCATTGAGTTATTATGATTTATAATTACATTTCAATTCATAAGATTGAATTCTATTCATTTACTTCAAAATATAAATTGTATAGGCTTTATGTTTTGTAATTGATTCAATTGTGTTTGGAGTAAAAGGTGAAATTGGATCATTCTTCTTTTGGCTTTTGTGTAAAGCTGTTATCATAAATTTAGTTGAAGAGTGCAAATTATTATTGTCTGTAGACTGGAATATGATGGTAACAATTTCACAAGACACTTGCAAATTAAGCATTTGACTAAATCAATAATTCAATAGTGATGCCATTTTTACTCGAGACTTTTACATCATCTGCAAGGTATTCCAGTGAGCTATATTAAGCACCGATAATGGGCTCTGGAGTTTGGTTCAAGAATATAATGAGCAAAAAGAAAGTGAGAGGTGATAGATCTTAAAAATTAAAGGTTTGCTACTCTTAAATATTCTTAATTCCATTATCACTAGATCTTAGTCTTGGCAATCTTAGACATCATATATAATTTTATATAAATTTTTGTTTCATGCTCGTGAGTTGTGATGAGATCATTCTCAACGATGTAATTCCACAATTATCGTCAAAATTCCACTTCTCAGGTAAGCAATGACTTGCCTAACTTGTTATTAAAGAGATTGAAAATGTTTGAAACCTTGTCGACTTATATAATTGTAACCTGGTCGGCTTATATGATTGGTTATTGTGGGATGAACAATTGCACAAGCGCACATAGTAACTGTATTGGAAATTGTAATTGTGTGATGATTGAGATATTTTGTAATTGTTTTTTAGGTTAATCATTGGACATTATACACCGTTGAATTTTGTATTTATATAAATCGTTTCTATAATATATTTGGTTGTTGTTTTAAAGTTAGTTTTTTAAATTAGCAATGAATCACATAATACACTGTTGAATTTTGTATTTACATTGCTTTCGCTGGGGGGCCTAATTTACACACTTCGCCTGAAGGCCCATCAATCGCAGGATCGGCTCTGTGTTAGGGGGCTCAAACTGAATATTTTATTCGTAGAGCCCCCTCATCTGACGGACCGTACACTTGTACAGACATACAAGTTGAATAACCAAATACACAATTATGCTTCAGTTAAAAATTTTGCATCATTACTAGGATCGTTTTCTACGAACATTTTGCAAAACTTAACAAATGGCACAGCGTTCAACCAATTTTTTAAGAGATTTGTACTTTTAAAAAAAGGGTTTTTCTTTTAAAATTGAAAATGAATTAAAACCCTGTTTGATTCTAATCTTTTGAAAACAAAAAAAAATACATTATTAAACAATATTTTGACATTATTTCAACAACACATTCATCAATAAAATAATATTACATTTAAATCCAAATAAAATTTCTTATTTCTTAATCACACATTTTCCATCAATATACTATTCAAAAATTCATTCTAATAAAAAAATGGGGCTCAAACAAGGAATAAATATTGAATAACGTTGTTTATACATAAACAGTTACATTAAAATTATATACGGATGAAGTATCAGTAAGAGATTATTTTATTTTATTTTTTTGATTGAATATGTTCAAACTTAGTCATATCTCACTACATCACATGTATGTAAATCTATTATGTATATATAACACAATCGGTCATCTCGTAAAAGATTAATGCTAAAGGTTTTAGAATTATGTAAAAAGGATGAAACGCAAATGATACTACTAAAAATTCCGATTTTAAAGGCTGAGACAAATTTCCCCCAACGCTAAAGGTTAAGGAATAATTGCAAAAAGTTTCAGTAGGAAAAAGGAAAAATAATAATGTTGCCGGAAGAAATTGAACTTTTGCCTACAAAATAAAAACATGGAGCTTTCACCACCGAGCTCCAACCATGAACACTATAATTTCGCTAAAGATACTATTTTTATTATTTTGTTTTATATATAAAAAAAATTCGGAAGAAAAAAAATGGGAGAACTTGGGAGGCCTAGGACTCCCTTGGTTCCGCCCCTGGCCGCACGATACATGGATTCTAAAGTATAAGCAAATAGTAAGAATAATGATATTTGTACATAAAGAGTTACTTAATAATTTACATACAAATGATGTGTCAAAAAGATGGTGAATCATTTTATTTTTTTTTTTATTTGGTTGAAGAAATTTTGATCCAATCACATCATACCACATCGTGTATGTAAACTATTATGTACATGTAGCCTAACCGCAAATAGGAATTTTTTAGAAACTAATGCCTAATTGATGTATGTTGTATACACGGCGGTGTCTATATACAAGTTACATTCGACCAAATGTCGAGTTACACTCAAACTCCATCGAGCGGTACTCATCTGGATGTCTTTTTGCACAGATATTTACACTTTTGTCAAAATGTTAAAATACTCTCTATCTTCGATAAGATTTAGGTCACCTAAGGATCAATCTAAGTGGATTTACATTGCCATCAACCAAAATTCAAGATTAGTCTCAACCTCCGACGAGCTTAGCTCTCCGGGGTCTTTTTGCATGGTAATTTACTAGTTTTACATTTTCTATAAATGCTTATATCTTACATGTCAGTATTGCAAAATCTGCCATTGATCCTGTTCTGAACAGCTTTCACAGCAGCAACTCTGGCAGCAGTAGCAGCTCTATTTGCAGCCATCATTGCCTTGTTCACTTGTTCATCCACCCGGCGATAGTGAATTGCATTATTTGCTGTTTTCCGAGCAGCCTGCCACAGAATAAGAGGAAACCAGAGAGTTAGCATAAAAAGTTCATATGATATGTGCTAAAAAAGAATGAAGATGAATCTGCTAATTAGAAGTGAATCTCGTTAATTACCTGAACTGCTCTAAGGACCTCGTCAGTTAGTTGGGGAAGGCAAGTTTTAATATTTCCACCGTGCCATTCACCACATCCGGTCTCACCATTTCGGAATGTATACATGCCATAACCTTGTTTCAGGCCTTCATGCCAAGATCCCTCGTAACAATGACCATTGGCAAAGTGATATACACCAAAACCATGGATTTTGTCTCCAAAATATTCACCAGCATATCTATCTCCATTCCTATAGAACAATCAAGTTCCATCATTCATTTATGTTCCTCCAATATCAATATATAAAAAGGTATATAAATTTTAAACGGTAAACAACAAAAGAGATAAAAAGTACAACATAGACAAAGTCTATTTGACAATCAATCTGTTCACTTGCCATGAAATCTCCCGACTTTCACACCATATCCTAATGCATAAGATAGAATTATTCAGAGAAACAATCCGAGAAATTTTTTTAGTGCAACAAAATATACAAGGTGTCTTTGATTACATTTATTTTCCATGGAAAATATCAGTTTTTCACCCAAATTCCTACTTAGAATGTTTGATTGCTATTTTTTTCCATGGAAAACATTTTCCAACTTTTGAAAATATACCTAATTTTCCTTGTTTTTAAGGAAAACATTTTCCTTGGGTAGATAGGGGTGGCAGTGGGCCGAGCCGAGCCGCATGAGCTCGGCTTGCGCTCGTGGCGAGTTTTTCACGAGCCGAGCTCGGCTTGGCCCACGAGCTCGTGAGGCAGGGCTGAGCGGCTCGCGAGCTCATGAATTTATTTTTTTTTTTATTTTTGCAAATTTTTCAATTTTTATTGATAAAATTTTAATTTTTTCCACTTTTTTGGACGAGCCGGCTCGTGAGCTCGGCCCACGAGCCGCTCTCGGCTCGAGCTTGGGCTCATTATTTGACGAGCTCGAGCAGCCCACGAGCCTCATAAAAATAAATCATATAGAATGTAGTGTTTCCATTCCACTATATCTATCTGACATAGAATGCAATGAACATAGAAAGAGGCTTCTAGAAGAAGGTCACAAAGAACGTATTTATCCATAACCCGGACAGTTCATTTTCGATTCTTCGAACATCGACAACCTAAAAGGTACGAACTGAGAGACGCAGGAATCAAAGTCAAATTCACACTCATACGAATTTCAGGGAGGGGGGGGGGGGTGTTGAAAACAATCTTATTGGAAGCGGCTAGAGAGGGGAAGAAGAGAGGAGAATAGAGAGAATTTGAGGGAAAAAAATATTAATTCAATATTAAAGTCTAAGTTTTACAATGAATAGACCATCTTTATATAGAGTCTAAGCAAACATGATTTAAGAAGGAAACAAAGGATAAAACCTAATTTGAGTCAAACTAGAAAATCTATAAATCAAAACCTCTGTTCTAATTGAACTAGAAAATCACAAGAAACTACTAAGTACTAAGAGAACTCAACTACGCAGAGGTAGTCTGCAACTTCCTACCCAAGGAGGATGATCCTTCTTTCTGACCAAAAAACGATGTTGATCATATGAATCATCCTTCATAACTTCATCTTCATCCTGGGGACAATCTTTCTTTGGTCCAATATCAATAATGAACTCTAAACAGCAATATGTACAACTTATCCACAAACTGTAATTGAATCCATTTAATACGCTTAAAGCACTAGCATGGTAGACTGGTTGCGAGAACAAATAATTGCAGCACTTGTAACTTAAAATGTGCCGGATATGGAAATAGATTTTTTATGTTGAACACAAAACTATCATTCAAGTAAGATGGCCAGTCAAATAAATCAATTACAAGTGAATGATTCAAAAATCTTTTCTTAATGTGATTAGAATATCGTGCCAAAGAAACACGTACAAAGCATAAAAATCAGGATTTGTGCGTACCATGCACGTAATCATAATTCTCATTACTCAAAATAATCCATTGTTTCATCTCGACGTGGAAAACCATGCACATGGTTAAGAAAAATCGAATAGGAAACAATGAGACCATATTTAGTAGGCAATAATCGAATATCGACCGGAACAATATGCAAGTGAACAATTGCCTTGAAAAACAACATGGCAAGAGTATCATTTAGTTGAGGTAATGCCAAATAAAGTTAATATTGAAGGCACATAAAGGAGTAGACAATAACAATTTCAACACTAAATCGAGGATATGTCAAGTTTGTTTTAGGTGACAACGCCTTAGGTGATTCTAGAATTATGTTATTGTTAATTCTATCAAGTACAAGGGTGAACACGAGAGAGGAGAAAAAATACAAAACTCAAGACTCTCATCCACGATAATATTCTATACATTCGACAATAAAAACTTTATCTTCTTGTACAGGAGTATCCAAATTCAATTTTTTGGATATGATGTAGACATGAAGAATTTATATGTTCATCAACAAAACAATACGGACACAGATTTGGAAACTGATAAACATGTGGACACAATAGGGACATTACATTGAATGAAGTCAAGCTTATCCATAGTAAAAGAAGTTACGGGCGGAGTTTCTTGAAGAAAACTAACACAATCAGATTCATTACTACACTTAGGATATGATTGTTGGGAATGATGTCGCATACCTAATTTACGACATGCTAGGCGAAGATGAAAGAACATGGTCATTTGTATTGCCAGGGGCTAAATTCATCCGAGGACTGGGTGCCGACATTTTGTCACGCTCAACATCCGGGGATTCAAACCATCAAAAAATCTAGAAGTCGTGCCATAGGGAGACTGATAAATAGCAGAAGTGTTTAATAGCTCTTCAAAGTGAGTCAAAAATTCACTAAGAGTGAACGTACCTTTACAACAGTGTAAAAATTATTGATCTAAAAACTAAGTTTAATAATAGACGTGTATATTGTTACTTAATATTCGTTTCATCTCATCCCACAAAATGATAGGACTCTAACCTAGATGGTTAATGTCATGCAAAAATGACTCCCAATAATGCCTAGCAGATCTACAAGTCACTCACTAAGGGCTTGGTATATCTATAAGAATTGCTATGGTGTTGAGGGAAATGTCAAGACAAAGCAAGTTGTTTTAAATAATTGCAAATCATCACTTAGCACATACACAAAATAATCAAAAACTCTTAAAATTAGGTCAAAGAAATTATTATTATTATTATTATTATTATTTTAAAGTTAAAGCTAACAAAAGAACATTGAGGTTCTCTTTTAATATTTTTTGGGAAAAAGCTAATAGAAAATAACAAAGCAAAAAAGTAATAAATATATCTTTTTATTTTTGTTTGTGATTTTTTCACTTTTATTCATAAATTGGGCAAGCCAATACTTAGCCCCTATTTGAACTCCATTATAATTAAATTTTTTAGAAAAATGTATTTTATAATAGTGATTTTTTATTTAAGAATGTGTGGTTGAAAAAAAGAAAAGAAAAAGAAATTTTTTGAATTTACTTGTATAATTATTTTATTAAAGAATGTGTGGTTGAAAAAAAAAAAAGAAAGAGAAAAAATGTATTATCAAATCAATGAAACCCAAACAAGATCTTAAATAAAAGTAATGTGACAATATAACAAAAGAGAGATAGCTTATCAGACAAAATTAGGCAAGTGATGTCCAACCGTTGTTCAAGCCATGCAACTTTAAGTGGCCTAATGTGATTATCAAGTGCTGTTAACCAATCGATGGTGGAAGCTTATGAGAATAGGTGGTGAGCAGATTATGAAGCGATGGCATTAGTGGTGGTATAGATATAAACGTGTGCAAAAGGCTGTAGATGAGTAGACAGATGGCAGCAAAGAATAGAGATTGGTGAATGGCAGTGCAATAGCGATGCACAACGGAGAAAGAGCAACGAGTGAGCAGGGCCTAAGGTTTGGTTGGGTGTTTTACTTTGAGTGTGGAAGGAGGAAGGTCAGGTTGTTGGACTTGATCAAATGGGATCGAGATGGTTGTGGTTAGTTTCTGTAGTGGATTATAGGTTCATGTGCAAGGCTCTATTGGATAATGTTTGCTAATTGTTATGGTCTATTGTGGGCATTTGTAAGTGATTTAGGCTCCAAGTTTTTTCAACACTACAAGTGGGGTGCTGCAATTGGATTCACTAGAGTTAGATGATCGAATTAATGAAGTAATCGTGAAGGAAAATATTACACTTCGAAATGAATCAGCAACAATTCCATGGCAACTGATTTTGTTCTCGCAAAGTATTTGTTAATAATCTCTTGAAATTAAACAAAGTCAGAACTTCAGAATTTTTTTGTCAAGTGAAACAATATAGCCCTATTACCAGATTGACGTACAACACAACGAACAAAGAAGAGACTTGTGGAAGAAGGGGGAAGAAGAGAAGATAAAGACAAGAGGAAGATAATAGAGAATTTAGAGAGAGAGAAAAAATTATGCAATATCAAAGTTATTACAATGAATAGACCCTCTTTATATATAGTCCAAGTTAACCTAATTTGTAAAGAAAACAAAAGAAATAAAATCTAATTTATTTCAAACTAGAAAATCTATAAAACAAAACCCTACTTCTAGTCAAACTAAAAAACTATAATAAGCTAATGTAACTTAAAATTGTCTTTATTCCTAATCTACTAAGGATATTCGTTATCTTCATTCCCAATCACTATCCAACTTGGATGCCAAATGGCTTTGGTTCTAATTATGGTAGAAACTGTCGACCTCATCCTTTCAATTGAAAGGCCCCAAGGATTACAAATTGCAAGTTCTTACTCTTTTCCATCAAATCAAGATAGCATCACTTAATGCATAATCTTAAAACATACATATTCAAGATTCACACCAACATTCAAAAATCTCAAAACACAAATAAAATTGAAAAACAATAGGGAAAAATATTACTTCACCTGAAATGATAACAGCCAAGGCCATGTTTGACACCACACTTGAACTCCCCAATGTAAGAACTCCCATCAGAGCAAGTCTGTACCCCCATCCCATGACTCTGTCCATTACACCACTCCCCAGCATATGTATCACCTGTGTAAAACGTATAAACTCCATACCCATGCCTCAACCCCTGCCTATACTGCCCCCGGTATCGGCTCCCCCTCGCCCAACTCTCAACTCCATGCCCATCGTACTTTCCATCAATCCAGTCCCCTTCATACCTCCCATTCGCAAAGTAATTGTAAACTCCACTACCATTGCAACTCCCTTTATGAAACTCCCCTTCATAAAAATCCCCATTGCTGTAAACCTCCACTCCTTCTCTTATATTTTCTTTGGTATTTTCTTTTCTGCTTTGTGTTTTATCTTTTTTGTCAGGGTTTGACTCCCCAATGAACCATTGAACAGGTTTTTCATGGTTCTTGGAGGAAAAGCAAAAAATCCCATGTTTTTTTGCAGATTCATCACACAATTGCTTGCTATGTTTAAAGCTATGGAGGATTAGGGCCTTGTTTCTCGACAAGAAAAATAGCAAAATTGCAATGAAAATGAAAATGAACGCTAGCAGGAGATTTCCCGACATGGATATGCCATCCCTGTTGATAAAGGCGAAAAGGGCGTAAACAGAAAGTAAGAGGATAGCAAGAATCGGAACGAACCAGGATGAAACGGAATTTTGCAGCCTCCAAACGGGACGAACCAGTGGGGTACGGGGTTTCCTGTGGGGCTTCTGTTCCTCAAGGTCCTCTGTTTCTTGATCCTCTGCGATCTCATTCACAGAAGAGAAGCTGTGGATGGATGACCGTACAGTGGGGGAACACCGCAGGAGTGAAGATTGTGTCCTCGTAAGGCCTATCTGACCGTCCATTCTTCTCGAAGTCTTCTACAATCTGGGAATCTCGGCCATTGGATTAGATCAGTGATTTTTATTTTCTTTTTCCAGTACGCCTACCTTCTATACTTTGATATTCTTATTATTTACTCCGACGCCGGTTTCATCTCCGGTGGGGTCGCAGGATAAGCAGCGAAGAGTGCGCAGATTAAGCAAAGTTGAAAGAAATGAGAAACTGTGTGCGCGCGCAATGCATAATTTAGAAAGAAAAAGCAGTTTAGGCAATCTTCAGAATGGACCGGGTTTTATGCGGGTCAAGTAACGAAGTGGGGGACACTTGGATTTGATATGGACCGTAAATGGAAGATCGACGGTGGAGATCTGCGGGTTAGTTATGGTCGTTGGATGACGTCTATAATGGGAGGTCACAATTTTGAGAGGAAGATTCGGTCATCGGATAGAGATTCCAGATTTTTGCTTTTATAGGCCGGTGCGAGTCTCCAGTAGTTTTTCAAAAAGAGGAAACTCAAAACTGCACCTCATATCACTTTTTGTCAATTTTAAAAATATCACATTTTAATAATATTTGAAAAAATATCACTTCCCCCTCCCCCCTCACCTGCGCCTCCTCATTTGTTTATCATTTTTGGGAGAATGAGAATGAAAAATATAACAGTTACGGACCCCACACAAAAGATAGAAATTCAAATTTGGTGGCTTGATGTGATGGATAACTATTTCATTGAAACATTATTTGACAAAAATGCCAACAAATGAAAAAAATACAAATAATTTGAAATAATAAAATATTGTCTCGTTAAAATCTTATTAAGAAAATTCAGTGCGACAAAATTTGATCGATAGAAAAAGAATACAGCTACGTTCCCTGATTTCAATTTGTGTATCAAGCGATGTCAATGTCTTCAATATTGATATCTTGTATGTCAATGTCTTTAAAAAACACCATCTTTATATGAAATATTTGTCAACCTTTATTGATTATAGTAACATAATGATTCTAAAAATAGCTCTTGTTGATATCTTCAGGTGTCTCATATATATACGAGTATTATTTTGATATTAAATGTCTTGTATGTTATGGACATTCATCACACAAAAAATATGCTTTGTTAAAACCTTATTAGAAAAAATCTTGTTTGAAAAATCTTAATAAAGGAAAAAGAGTACGTTATTCTTTTGAATACGCAATAAAAGTTATCTAATTAAAAATTTTATCAAGAAATCCCAATATGACAAAACGTTGGTCAAGGAAAAGAACACGTATTTACTTCCCTTACAATAATATTACTTGAATTATGCTCAAGGCATATTTAAATCCTTCAACGATAGTATTAAATCTATGTAAGATGAATTGGCTGTAATTGCATTTATTATATGCGTATCAAATTTTTTGCATTGTTACATTAACAAGGTAAATACTTGTAATTACATCCACTTATCTATTTATACAAGTTTTTGCAAAATTCATTACGTAAAGAATCATGAATCCTATATCTCATATATGACTTCACTTTTTCTATTTTCATTTCGCATAAGTATATACATTTAAATGTTCGGACTGTAGATCTAAAAAATTCAGATTTCTCTAGTAAATTCAATTTGTTAGGATTGCATCATTTGATTTGGCCAATTTGATCAATATGCTTTGACAACTGTTTATAATATGATGTAATACATCATGTGCAAAAGTGTTATTAGCAACTTTTTCTTTTTGATTCTATTTTTTTCCTTATAACTCAATTTTCAAAATATTAAGTACTTGAACCTCTTATGAAAAAGGTTGAACCCCAACTTTGAGGGTCTTTACTGCTCCGTCCCTGGAGTATTGTGAGGGAGGTAAATCACGGGATGTGCTCCAGCAGGTCAGGAAACAAGAGCTCGCTCGTACACTCGTGTCCACAAAAAGTCTAATTCCATATTTTAGGAATCGAACCCTCACACTGCGACTACCAATAAGGCTGAGACTACCTCATTCATGTCCTTTGCACCACTAAAATATGCCTCGAGGGGCACCTAAACCGCTTATGAATTTTATAACTAGTTGTATCTAAATACTCATCAAAAGTATATGCCTCTTTAATGTAATCATTTTTTATAATTGCTCCATTTTCATTTGAAAATCAGAACCAAATATCATCATGATTCAGACATGTAATACACTTATCAAATATAATATTAATTAATTGTTCTCTGGGACGTTAATTTGAGTTTGAATATTTAAAGTTGATGTACAAGATATTATAAATACATTCAATGAATTATCTTTAGAAGTTTTAATTTGAAAGATCTTTTGTGAGGATTTAGATTATGTATTTGTACATTATTTTAAACTTTTTAATTTATTCCTATGATGTCAAGAGAATTATCCAATCAAATTGACAATCAACAAATCGCTTTATGAAATATCATCCGTTAGGGTTTGGATATTAATAAGGATTCAAACTACTTATTTATTTTCAACATTTTTTACTTTTCATCTCAGTGCATTGTGATAGATTGATTTTACATATAATACTGCACTATCAAAATAATTAGATAGAAAAATTAAACTTGATCATAAGCCAATATAATAGACAGAATTATGATGTTGGCATGATGCGTAATATCACTCCCTAAATAGAAAATGGGAAGTCTTTTGTTCTCAATTAAATTGGTTGGAGGCATTTAACAAACAAAGTGTTAAATAATTTGTCGACATCTCAATTAACACTTTTTAAAAAGTTCATATTTTGGATCACTAGCATTAAGAAGACACTATCTTGATTGTATACTCTGCGAATTGAGTCACAATCTAAAATTTATGTAGTAATTTTGCAAACCCCTAATTGTGAACACCATGTAATCATCTAGTATGTATATTAAATCTACTTAGATATAAATAATATTTATATGATCAACATGGTGGATGACATGTCCCCATTTATCACCCTAATTAATTTTTAGAAATATAGGAAATTCAGATCCTATTTTAGCTAGTGACATTTAATGATCGATTGTTAATAAAAGAACAAATAATATATAGGAATTCATTAGATTGAAAAATCTTTTAGTTTTTCGCTTAATGTATATTTAAATTTTAATTTCACATCATTATTGATCCAATGAAGGTCCAACTAATTATGCGAAATGATAAAATCAAATTAAATTTCTTTTTCAATATAAAATATAATCTATTGTTTAATTCCAAAGAATATGATTAAACATCATATAATCATATATCATTTAAGTAGTCAAACTAATCAATGTCCTTACTACATTATTTATATATTTTCCTTTGGTGATAAATATAAATTCAAAATAATATATTTTTCAAAACATGTGATACTTCAAGAGCATATTGTCTCTTATTATTGCATTTTTTAAAATAATATGTCAATATTTTTCTAGAATATTGAAAATCATAATTTATGTTCTTCATGAGCAATCAAATATGATTATAATAAATTATACAATGATTTACTCTTCAGGAGTTAAAATGTAATTTATGTTATATCGTATTTAACTACACTTTTCGGGAATAAGTAAAATCTAACTAGAATATTTGTCAATAATAGCGTGCTATTTTAGGAACACCAATAAACAATTATTTAGAAAAATTAACTCTACATGAATACGCTATCTAGCATATATTAATTTTTGTAGAGTTTTGCTTCTTCAAGAGCATTATTATTATTATTATTATTATTATTATTATTATTATTATTATTATTATTATTATTATTATTATTATTATTATTATCGGATATTTATCTATATAAACAACAACAAAATATTCTTTGATAATATTTATAGATCTTATGAAATTGCAAATTAGATCTATATTATTGTATTCAATAATTCAAATTTAAAATTATGTTCTACAGTAAAAAAAGGAAAAATTGCAGCTGAGGTGCCAAACCTTTCGTTTATTAGCAGACTTTGCTCAAACCTTTAGTTTGTACCACCGGAGATACCAAACCTTTAAAAAATGTGTGGGCCCAGTCCAAAATGACTGTTTCCGTTTGTTTGACCACCAAAACCATCAGTTGACCCCTTTAATGATAATTTCAAGAATTTTCTCCAAATAAGTGAAGGGCAACATGGTTATTACACACATTTCCTCCTATTATATATTTCACTGTTTATTTTCCTCCATTTCTTTATCACTATATATTACCTACCTTCTCTCTCACAAGTAGTCAAAAAAATCAGCACGCACATGGAGGGAAATGTATGCAGATGTGGTTCCCCAGTGCAGATGAAGACCTCGTGGACGAACTTGAACCCGAGAAGAAGATTTCTCACATGTCTTCAAAGTCAAGATGTGGGTGGATGCACCTTCTTTATGTGGTGTGACCCTCCGATGTGTGAGAGATTGAAGGAACTTATTCCTTGTCTATTACGAGCTAGGAGGGAAATGGAAGTTGAAATCGACACCCTTCAAGCAACAAGACCAAATGTGTGGAAGATCTGGCTCTTCAGCTTTGTGTGTGGAGTGTTTGCAAAATGGGTTTGTTCTTACGTATGTACGGTCAGATTGTAGGATTTTAGTTTTTTTGTTACAGAAATTTGAGCTTAGGGTTTCGAAATGGAGTCATGTGCTAGATGTTGTGAAATGCATTTAAAAAAAGGAAAAATTGTGTTGTACCTTTTGTCTTGAAATTTAACGATATTTTCCTGGCCTCTATGTAAAATGCGAAATTAAAAGAGCATATTACACTTCAAACTTATCTGAAGAAGGTGCAGCATAGGTACCAAACCTTATAATGATTCGCAGAATCAGTACCAAACCTTTTCTAATGGTTTCAGACAGAGTACCAAACCTTTAAAAACATTGCAGTAAAGGTACCAAACGTTTGATAATACTTTCATAGGAAGTATCAAACATTCTCATATATTTCATAATCGTCTGCACATCAGATCTTACGAATACAATTTCAAAACCCAATGACAAACATCAGAAACATAATGCAAGATATTCGACATCAACATTATCACCACATTGAACAATTTCATCAAAAATTCCAGTTTCATCTACAAAAATACATAGCATTGGAAGCACATATTTCCAGTTCAGTTTACAAAAAACCACTGCAATTTCCCAAAAAGGTAACTATACAAGAGAAACCACGTAATGTTCAAGATTGCGATCCTCTATGCTTGGACTTCTTTGTCTGTGACTTGGAGGTTTGCGTTGAATGTGCTTTGCTCTTCCCCTTCACTGATCTGGTATGTGTATCTTCTTGTGTGGTTGGTTGAGACTGTTGTTGTGAACT